TGACTTTTTCTTTTTGAATCTAACATAGCATTCCCAACCCACCACATGCTTAGTGAAATGCTCCACTCCACTAAAGGTTTGTAGAGGTCTAAGCCTTAGATGCATTGTGTAGGAAAAGATGAGAACACACGCCACCTATTTGACTCTTAATTTAAAAGTTTTGTTTGTTTTATTTTTCTCAATAAAACAGTAGGTTTGGTAAGAGAGATATTTAACACACATGCAGAGATGGACCATGCATATGGCTAACCAGGGCTATAGCTGAGATGACTTTTTCTTTTTCAGCCTAACATAACATTCCCAGCCCAACACATGTTTGGCAAAATGCTCCACTCCACTAAAGGTTTGCAGAGGTCTAGACCTTAGATGCATTTTAGAGGAAAGAGATGAGAACACACGCCACCTATTTGATTTTTAATTTAAAAGTTTTGTTTATTTTATTTTTTTTCAATGAAACAGTAAGTTTGCTAATAGGGATGTTTAATACACATGGTGTTGTTTTGATTAAATTTATGAAACTCAACCCAGCCAACCCTTTCGTTCTTATTAATTAATCTCCTTCTCACTACAAACCCAAGTTCCATAAAGCAATAGCTACACACCTTTTTCCAAGCTTCTAGCTTGTAATAAGCTCCTTATTCTACTGTATTTTTTAGTTCTAACTAAATTACTTTATTTTAATATGCTAAAAAAAACTTTATTTAGCCAAATATTTTTGAACAAATATTCATGGATCGGCCATTGCATGCACTAATATTTTTAGTACGTTTGTACGTGTGGTAAATTTAGACCACTCCACTTTGAAGTCCTTGAAAGAAAGTATATGAGGCCAGAAGAGGCTGAAGAACTTGAATTTATATTGAGCTCGTTGAAGAAACAAGTCAAATTTCACACCAATACCAAATCGCGTAAAGGGTTCTCTGCCTAGGCTCAGTCAGTGCCTGATTTTCTCCGCTATGTTGAGAAAGGAGAACTGCAAGCCATCATTAAGGCTTTCGTCAACGCTTGAGATGACCCCGTTGGCGAAGTGTTGGTCAAAAGCGAATGCGGTTTTGTCGACTTCAAAAGGGAGTAAGTTGTCAACCACAAGGGAGAAAAGGTACAACAATGGCGTTGCTTTGATGGCAAGGAAGAGTTATGTGAGTATAGAGGAATTGAAGGGTTTGTTTTCTACTGCTGCGAATGAGGTTTCTATTTTTTCCTTATTTTTTCATAACTTTTGGGGTTCATTCTTTATTTATTAGAGATATTCCCAGCCCACCACATGCTTGGTGAAATGCTCCATTCCACAAAGGCCCCGTTTGGTTCATGGGAAAGAAGACTTAGGGATGAGAAATCAATTGTTTTCTCATGTTTGGTAAGTCTATGCATGGGAAATCGTTGCCTAGCCTATGGGAAAGTAAAGGCAAAGTGAAGTCATCCTCCCAACTTGGGTTTTGTTTTCCCTCATCATGAAAAAGTTTGGGAAAATGAGCCAATATTAAATAAATATTTTTCATGACCATTTTGTCCCCCATTAACAATTTAGAATTACAATATATCAATAAATGCATTCTTTTTTTTTTATTTGATTTAATATGAGTATAATAGAAAATTTATACAAACTTTGTTTTCCATTCCTACTCAAAACAAACATCGGGAAGGAAATAAAGTGATATCTCCCAGTTACTTTCATAACATTACCAAATATGGGAAATGAATCTTATATTTCTCATTCCTTGGGAAATGACATAGGAAATGATTTCCACTCAAATTCGTTCCATGAACCAAACGGGGCCTAATTTGTTCATAGCAAAAAGCCTTTTACCATCAGAAATACCCTTTTTCGACGGCAAAACTCCGTCGAAAGTCTTCGCTAAATGCTGGTTGTAAATACTTCTTTTCCGACCATTCCGTCGGAAAGAATGTATTTCCGACACCCAGATTTCGTCAATATTGCTTATATATCTATCGGAAATAAATTTTCTAAACAGCCATACAAATTCACTTCCAACCATAAATGTGGTCGAAAATACTTGTGCACTTGTCAGAAATAATTTTTGATCGAGATTTTTTGTTTTTGCCATGCTATTTTTTCGACCAATGACTATTTGTTGAAAATAGTATTTCTGACCCTCAATTACTATTTGTGATTAATATAATTAATTGGAATTGTGGTTTCTCGACATGGAAGTTTGTCGAAAATGTTTTTCCAACTACATTTATTTGCATTAAACGTACAAAAATTTGGTCCAAAACTATAAATAACATTTCAATTGAGAAATTGTTGTTCGAAAAATAGTATATATTATCATTAATAAAAGACAAATGTAATAAATTGCATATATTCATTACAATCCTAAGCTATGTCCTATATCACTAGTCCCAAAGCCTACTTCCAATCAAACATTAAAGAGTTCGAAAGCATGCTTCATAGCTTCCTTGGAATCATCACTAATGATGGGCTGTTGCTGCTTCCCATTAACAATAACATTGTTAATCCTACCAAAACAAGAACAGAGCTGGTTTTGTTACCAAAACAAACTTTTAGTCAATGTGTTAAATCAAATATATCAAGGAAGAAAACAATACATGACAGAGTAATGAAATAACAAAAAAATAGATACAAACTCAAGGCGACTAAAACCTGAGAGTAATTATTAGATTCATATTGAACTGAAACATATCGTTAAATTACTGATTACCACATACCATCTTTCACCACTAATAAGTCTCTCAACTTGCAGTCTTCCTAAATGCCCCAATAGCATTTAATTTTATCAATAACTATGATATTCATGAAGATCTTGCCCTCTGGGGAATTCCAACAGAAACACATTGAGAACATGCAAACTCCAACTCAGACAAAATTAAAAACTCCACTGAGATTAAACTAAGATTATAAACATAAGAACTCCAATGTCAGGTCTCAAGTAAACCTGTAAAGATGTTACATCAGCAAACTAATAGGAAGGTTCTTCGTTTCTCACATTTAAAAACTAAAGCATTTCAATGGTTTCTAAGAATAAAAAAGACTTTCAAAGACGAAATGGTTGTTGCAGGTCAAAGTGCAAGGAAATAAAAGAGGCTAACCAGCAGTGAGTAAAGTTGGTGACAAATTAGAAAGAAGAGTGATTTCATTTTGAGTTGGGATTTACTTACTCTGAGAGTATAGTCAGTAATGAGACTGCTCTCAACTCCTACCATTGAAGTAGCCTTTAAAAAAATAAAAAATAAAAAATAAAATAAAAAAACCAGAAATTCAGATATATAAGCTTAAAAATCAATGCATTGAAGGCGGGGTTTAGTGAAATCGCATAAATATATACCTTCATGAAAAGGTCTACTTCTGGCTCTGAAAATATCCCAGCCTCCTTTTCTCTTCTAGCAAGCCCACAAAGTTCTATAGCCCATGCATAACTTTCATTAAAATGCTACCAAATTCATTTCCAAAGTTACATATAAATGAAGAGAGTTACTTTGATAATGGATTATGATATGATTTGTTTTGTTTGGCTGCAGTTACTAACCATATCGCGTCCCAACCCCTTGGTACCTTGCCGAAAAATTCTAGAGTTTCTTTGACTGTCAATTCTCCCATATGAACATCATTTTGGATAATATATGCAGATGTCTTTTGTGGCACAAATTCATTTAGCCTATATCCATTATAAGTGATTTATCCTCTAACCTGTTCCACAGATCTCATGTCTAATTAAAGACTCATATTGAAAAATTGTTTGAATTTTTTTTTTATATTATAGTATAACAGGTCAAGCTAATGATAAATAAATTGGTTCAAAGCACATGGTGAAGCTGAGGACCGACCCAAGTTCCATAAATCAATAGCTACACACCTTTTCCAAGCTTCTAACTTGTAATAAGCTCCCTATTCTATTGTATTTTTAGTTATAACTAAATTACTTTATTTTAATATGCTAATAAAATACTTTATTTAGCCTAATATTTTCGAATAAATATTCATGGATCGGCCATTGCACGCACTTATATTTTTAGTAGGTTTGTACGTAAGGTAAATTTAGCCCACCTCAGTTTAAAATCCTGGGTCCGTCCCTAGTGCAAACCTTTTACTTTTCTCACTTCTAGCCCTCGAAGGATTTAGAAGTTTAATAGATAAAATGAACAAAATAGTACAAAGGAAGAAAACTGTAAAGGGAGCAATCCCAATAGCATTACGGTGAACATAAGCAAAACTTTTCAGAATGACATGAGCTAGCAAAAAAATAAAACTATCCTGAGAGAATCATTCCCCAAAAAGAATAATGTTACTCTTTTTTTTTTTTCCATTATTCAAAATTATACATATATATAAGTATACATTTGTTTTTGTTTTTTGTTTTTTTTTTGTTTTTTTTTAATATGGCTCTGGGCTGGAGTTGCTAGATGTCATCCTAAGGCTTGGAACTTATATCTGGAGAGCTTGTAGTCGGGGATTCCCATTATTGTTTCCTCATTCATTCATGCTAATCTTATTTAATTCCCTTTCTCACAACTAAACTCCAAGAATTAGACTCTAACGATATGATGAGATGCCTGGATTAGTACTCAAAACTTAAAAAGTCATAGAATAATGTTACATTTAAACAAATTAGTGGTTTTTTAAGGTAACTATCGTTGTCAACATCTAATAGAAAACTCCGCTTTTGGCGGGTTCCCATTTCACATGTACATTTTGTTAATACTATATCCATATGTTCACCAAAAATATAACCAACGTGACTCATTAATCATATGCAACTAGATCATTTTGTCGGCATTGATATCCACTTCACACGCCAAAAACACGTTAAAATACAAATACAACGGATAGGGACAAAAAAATATGAAATAAATATGCGACAGCAGTGCAAAAAAAATCAGTCATGAGATGGCATAAAAACGGCATCGATGAACAAAGCTTTGACCAGAAAAGGCCCAAGGATCGGGAATGACTACCCAGTCCAAGACTATCTATAAAAGGCGAGGCAGTCAAGCCACATTCATTACACAAAAAACACGAAGGAAATAAAGCAAAAAACTCAAAGGAAATTAATTGAGCATGGGAAACCAAACGGAGGCAGCAGCGGCGCCGACAGTGCCGGTAGGGGTTTGCCTGTTGAAAGGGGAAAAGGTGTTGTTGGGACGACGCCGTTGCTCTCTTGGCTACTCCACCTTTTCCCTACCTGGTGGCCACCTCGAGCTCGGTACGTAATTATATACACAAATACAGGGGTTAATTCTCGTCTTCCTAATCCCAAGTCATTAACTAATTGGTGTTTGCGTAGGTGAAAACTGAAATGGTCATCAAATGGACCCTAAATTATATTAGTTTTGTGTTTATGTAGGTGAGAGCTTCGAGGAGTGTGCAGCAAGAGAATTGAAGGAAGAAACTGGTTTAGACATTGACAAGAAGAGGATGGAGTTTCTGACAGCTACAACAAACAAGCTGCTCCTAGAGGGAGGCAAGCCATGCCAGTACGCCTCCGTTTGCATGAGAGCGGTGATGGAACATGGAGATGGAGAGCCCCAAAATATGGAGCCAGAACTGTGTGATGGTTGGGATTGGTATGAGTGGGACAACCTCCCCAAACCACTCTTTCGTCCTCTGCACAATGCGGTGCGGGCAGGATTTAATCCTTTTCGTGCATGAAGAGCAAGAGGACGAAAAGGACTCCAACTATATAATTAATTGGGGCTCTTAGATATAGTTGGTAAAATTGGTATAGGTAGAGGACCCCAACTATATTTTCATGTTTCCATCATTCCAGCCTCCAGGTAGAAAACACGTTGGTAATTCATGCTTCTGGGATATAGGTATATAGATCATATGCAGTTATAGGTAAATAGAGCATCCACATATTTGTTTTATTTGTTTATTAACAAAAAGGCAAAAAAGACACCAAAGCCAATTGAAAATTAGAAAGATAAAGTTGATAACAAAGTGTTTCATTTTCAACAAAATACCTATGTCTCTGTTACAGGTAAATTGACCTGCTGGTGGCAAGCAATTGGTTACCTATAAGGGAGGTACTAAACCCAAATGTAACTATCATATAGGCAAAAATAATCCCATTAAAACAAAATGTACCTATCACATAGGCGAATGTGTAAACAGACGAAGAGAACATAAACATGCTAAATAGTACAAAAAATGTGCCTTGTAATGGCCAAATGAAATCACGAAAACACTTCTTACCTAATTTATATTTTAGGGGCAAATTTGAAACCACAACATAAATAAAAAAATTAAAAATATAAAATATAAATGTTAGAAATTGAAAAAAGGTAACTAATCTTATGTTGCACAAAAGTCAAAGGACTTGGATTACTAATAATAAATGTGTTGATTGCACTCAAATTCTATCATAACAATTGGACTTATACCGAATTATTTATAATTAATTCCATGTGTGGCATGCATATGCATTTTCACAACTTTTCACAATGAAAATGCCAATGCTTATAAAAAAAAATTCCAGTCCAGATGCAATAACCATCACATCGATCCTTCAATTTTTCATGTATTGGAAAAATTACTATAATTACAATGGTTAAGCTAGGATGGCAAAAGCTAGAATGACCATGGGTAAATCGATTCATGCACATCAACCAAGTTAAATTAGGGAGTTCTCTCATACACTTAACCACATAAGAACACGAGAAAATATTGATGATGTTCGATATGCTTCATGTCTTGTATGTGATATATATATATATCAAGAAAAGAAGTTTTTTATATCAAGATCTGATTTTTTTTCCCATCAATAAAGGTGTGCTTATATACTACGTAACTTATAATCCTAAGTTCTACAATTATGATAATGAGTTAGTTCATGTAATCTTGTCTTATACATCTTGTCAAAAAAAAAAAAAAAAAAAAAGTCTATCGTAGCACCAAACACAATATAACTTAGTCAGACTATTTATCCAAAACAACACCAAACGCCTTATAATTTTATGAATAAACAGTCAGTCCTCTCCGGAACAAATTTATACTATCCAACATAAATTAATCAATACAATCCGACGTACCAAACAAGCTCTTAATGAATTCTAGAATTGACTCCGAATGACCAGGGGGTCAGGGCGGGACATGCACAACGATTTGTAGTATCGGTCCCCCCCGGTCGGTTCATCAGCCTTTGGGTCGGTACAAAAATGTTTGGCTTAATTATGTACATGCCCCCTGTGCTTTCCAACTTATCTCAGATTACCACCTGTGGTGGAAAACGTCTCAAAGTACCCCCCAACGTGCAAAAAACTGTCTCACGTTACCCTTTCCGTCAGTTTTTTTGAAGTTCCGTTACGAACGTTACTGTTCATCTCCCCCAAAATTCCAGAACAGCAGCTCCTCCCATTTGTTACTGTTCATCGCACCAGTTTTTGGGCTGCCATCGCCTCCTCCGGCCACCCCAAGCGACGACATGGATATCAAAAGAACCAGCACGTTGTCCTCTACCACCCTCACATCTCAGCCGCTGCCAACCGTCGTCTGGATCACCGAAAAAAGCAAGAAATTGGCCGGTTTTTACCCAAAATCTCCATTGCTCGTTCGGGCGATTCCGAGCACCATTTTCTTCGATCCAGGTATGATTTTTCAACCTCTCGAGTTGTTCTTGCTGCTAGTTGTGTTGGTTAGGAGAAATTTCTGAGTTTTGGAGGGTAAATAAGCGATGAACAGTAACAAAGGGGAGGGGCTACTGTTCTGGAATTTTGGGGGAGATGAACAGTAACATTCGTAACGGAACTTCAAAAAAACTGACGGAAAGGGTAACGTGAGACAGTTTTTTGCACGTTGGGGGGTACTTTGAGACGTTTTCCACCACAGGTGGTAATCTGAGATAAGTTGAAAAGCACAGGGGGCATGTACATAATTAAGCCAAAATGTTTTGCTTTTGAATTCTTCCTTTCCATAAGATGATGACTTTTCAAAATAAAATTCTTCCATTTTTCCTTTATTTTGTGAACCACGTGCACAGTACCATGTAGAGTCTACGAACAGTGACAGAAAGATGTGAACCATGTGCGCAGTACCACAACCACACGATCATCCAAATGTCCACAATGACATGTTAATCACAACACAAACTTGCCACATTAATTCTCCGTCTTTTTATTGGTTGAATTATTGTCTCACTGTGATGACGATGTCGAGTGACATTATTGCCTTCATTAAATCTCCTCCATGCCTCCCGAGCCTATAAGTGTACCTTTCGATTTGGTCCTCAGAAACTCACCCAAAACTGCACCCATTTTCAAATCAATAAAATCAACTCAATTTTTTTCTTTTTCTTGTACAAATTATAATCGATTATGTGGAAGTACATGGTTGTAATTTGCAGCCACTTAAGCTCGTTACAAACCTGAGCCTTCTGGGTCGACCAGCTACGAGAGTCCTGCGGAGTGTTCTGTGTGTCTATGCAAGATTGAGGAAAGGAGATGAGGTTAGAAAATTGAGATGCGCTCATCTCTTTCATAAACAATGCTTGGACCGGTGGACCGGGTTTCAGCATGCCACGTGTCCCCTTTGCCGCAGTTTTCTAGCTCCCCCGAGAAGCACCCTAGTGTCCCATTCCCAGCAGTTTGTTCAATCGGAAGTGCTGCTATTCAAGTTTTGTTCTTTCAGTTCGGATAGTGATGATGGAGATGGATGGTGGCTGCGGTGAAAAACCAGTCCAGACTCCAGATCATAGTCAAAAGAGAGAGAATGGGATGAGAGAGAAGTACCCCATGCATGCAATCCTTAGTGTCAAGGATATATTGAGATGGAGAAAATATTATATATATATATATCTCTATATATATATATATATTATATTTGCATGTCTAATTAACACTTGCGCATCTGTATGACGAAAGATGTTTTCTTGCTCGGTCAAAAATCTTGGTGTAGATAATCAGCGTGTAATAGTTTTCTATGTTTTCTCTTCATTAGCGGATTCAGGAATTTTTCAGAAAATAGGTAATTTTAAAAGGCTAAAAGAAAACCAAATATCTTAAAATTTAAACAATACTAACGTCATTAATAATTCATGGAAAAAGAATAACAGTACAAAATGGATATTACTTCATCAATTAAACAATAAAATTATAATTGATCATACCTCGAGCTGTATACTATGCAATCTCTTCTTTCCTCTCGACTTTACTAATGATTATACAAATACAGAGAAAGCCAAATCTGGAAAAAATATATATATGTGAAGAAAAAAAACATATTATAAAAAAAGAGAAGAAAAAAAAAAGAGAAGGAAGAAAAACTAGAAGAGAACAACAACATAAGCAAAAATATCCCAAACCTTGCAAAAGGATTGGGTCAGAATCTGATTGCCGCAAGAGAAACTTCAACAAACGGAGCTTATAGTTTTGAATTGAATTGAATTGCTCTTCTCCGCTATTTATTAAGAGCACCTCCACCCCAAAGGGCAAGGGTAAGGCAAATACAAGGCAAGGTTTGTCACTATTCACATGAATAGTGATAGTCTTGCCTTTTTTGGTTCCACCCCAAAGGGCAATGACAAGAGCAAACACTATTCACTTTAATTTATTTTCTATTTTTTATACTTAAACCATTAATTTTGATAAGCTTTTCAGATAAGATTTTCGCTTGCCCACGTGTAAATATTTATTATAAAAGTCTCACCTAAAAATTCAAATAACATTTTCAGATAACATTTTCGGTTGCCACGTGTCCATATTTATTATAAAATTCACATCTCACTCATCATACAATTGAAATACTTCCAATCCTCGTAATCCGACGCAATCGAGTACAAGGATGACTCAATCATTGGTGGAGACAGTTCCACCGAATCACGACGTAGATGCGTATTTTCCTTTGAATGACGTAATAGTGCCATTATTTCTGACACGGAATGCACCACTGGAACCGATTGCGAGCATTGTTCACTTGAGAAGCCATGTGTAATGGTTTTCCTCTTTTTTGTTTTGCTGTGAATAATCTATTAAAAAAAAGTGAAATTGGAAATGCAAGAATATATTTTAAAAAATGACATTAAATTGAATAAAATGGCAATGTTTTTTTTTTTTTTACCTCATGGCCAAGATTTTGACCTCTTCGAATGTTTGTCCACAACCCTCCAGCTTCGATGGAAGAGGCCTTTTGTATTTTTGCACAAATGGAATTTTGTAGTAGAAAATTTGGTGTGGAAAGTGAAAAATACTGGAAGGAGATGAATTTGTATGAAAATTTGGTGTGGAAAGTGAATAATATTGGTAGGTATTTATAGACAAAAATTTCAGATTTTTTTTATTTTTTTATTTTTTGATTTTGATATTTTTTAAGCCAAAAACTGACAGCCATTGGATTGGGCAAGATTTTTTGATCGAAGACTCCAGGAGAAGCCACGTGGCTTGTAGTCGTTGGGTTATGTTTGTTGGTGGGTCAGCGGGTGATTCTCAAATTTTTTTACTGTATTCCACACGCCAACAGTAAAAAAAATTTGAAAATCATTTGCTGACATCAGCAGCCTTCGAGCAACAGCCCAGTCCATTTTTGCATGTGAGCTTGCCCGGGCTGGGTTTTTTGTGCTGGAGGTGGAAATCGGGCTTGGGTGGCTGTTGCCAGGGCAAGGCTTGCCCTAGCGCTGGAGGTGCTCTAATAGGGTTTATATATATAATATGCTATACTGATTTCGTACTGGGTAAGGCCTTGTGCACGTTTCTTTGCTTCTTTTTTTTTTTTTTTTTTTTTTTGGGGGGGAAAAAAAGAAAATGAGAAATATATGGTAAAAAAAAAAAAAAAAGAGGGGTGATTGAGCATCTAAATGTTTCATTCATCATCTACTGCTACAAAACTAGTTTAATTATGAGTCTCATCTCATGGTGACGTGAGATCGAGAATAATAACATATATCTAAAAGTGAGCATTTTTGCTCACCACTTTTATCCAATTTATATTTTTGACTATCGTTCCTAACATTTGAAATATGTCCATATACATAACCGTGGTTATATAATACAAAGTAAAAAGTTAACCATAGTTATATATGGACATGTGTCAACTATTAAGAATGATAGTGAAGATACATCTTGGATTAAAGTTGTGAGCAAACATACCTAGAAAAAGTCATTATAATATAATCAAATTGATCTTGTAGAAGGCCAAATAATGTGTTTTGGGTGTTTCTCATTTTCCCACATGTATGGTAGAGAATTGAGATGAGAGATGTGCTCATCTCTTTCATAAACCATGCTTGGACAAGTGGACCAGGTTTCAGCATGCCATGTGTCCCTTTTTGGGCAGTTTTCTAGCTTCCCGCGAGAAGCACCATAGTATCCAATTTCCAGCAGTTTGTTCAATCGGAAGTGCTGCTATTCAAGTTTTGTTCTTTCAATTCGTGCAGTGATGATGGTGGCTACGTTGAAAAAATAGTCCATAATCATAGTCAAAAGAGAGAGAATGAGATGTTAAAATAAAGTAAAATTTTGTTATAACTAAAAATGCAGTAGAATAGGGAGCTTATTACAAGCTAGAAGCTTGGAAAAGGTTTGCAGCTATTGCTCTCCGGAACTTGGGTTTGTAGTGAGAAGGAAATTAATTAATAAGAACGAAAGGGTTGGAGTTGGGTTTCATAAATTTAATCAAAACGACACCGTGTGTATTAAATATCCCTCTTACTAAACTGACTGTTTCATTAAAAAAAAACAAAACAAAACTTTTAAATTAAAAATCAAATAGGTGGAGTGTGTTCTCATCTCTTTCCTATAAAATGCATCTAAGGTCTAGACCTCTACAAACCTTTAGTGGAGTGGAGCATTTTACCAAACATGTGTTGGGCTAGGAATGTTATGTTAGGCTGAAGAAAAAAAAAGTCTTCTCGGCTATAGCCCAGGTTAGTCATATGCATGGTCAGTCCTTACGTGTGTATTAAATATCTCTCTTACCAAACCTACTGTTTTATTGAAAAACAAAACTTTTAAATTAAAAGTCAAATAGGTGGCGTGTACCTCATCTTTTTTCCTACACAATGCATCTAAGGCTTAGACCTCTACAAACCTTTAGTGGAGTAGAACATTTCACCAAGCATGTGGTGGGCTAGGAAAGTTATGTTAGGCTGAAAAAGAAAGTCACCTGGGCTATAGCCCAGGTTAGCCATATGCACAGTCCGTCCATGCTTCCTTTGCAGCTTTGATTCTCTAAACTCCACGTAGGCTTCGTATTTGGGTCCTCTCTCCATGGTGTAGTTCTCTGTGATGAGCAGCAGAGGGACTCGACTGGCTCTTGATCTGGTTTTGGGGTCTAGGAGAGAATGAGGGAGATGGATTCGATGGCTTGGAAGAGATATTGAAATGCAGGGTTTGGTTGATGATGGGTTTGTTGCAGAGAGTCGTTAGTGACTGCCATTGTTGATGAATTTGAGGTCACGCTGTGTGCAGAGATTTTTTGGGTTTTAGTTGATTTAATAATTAAATGGTATTTTAGGAATAATGGTAGGTGGAAAAATAAGATTGTATTTTTTCAAATTTACATGGTAGGTGGAAAGATAAAGTGAGTGGGAAAATAGAAAAAGGAGGTGACAATAGCAACACTCATTTTGTTGTTATGTATCTTAATTTCCCCACAATTACCCCATCATATTTCACAAAAATCATAAATAAATAAAGAATAATAATAATTTTACGTAGCCCACAAGTTGCTACCCCACCCTAATCCTTACCAGGCCCAGCCTCTCACACCCTAAAGTTCAGTACGTAACCTTGTCATTTTAACAACACGAAGAAAAACAGAAAACATGCAAGAACAAGTTGAGTGAGGACTTCAACTTGATTTGTTTTCATATATATATATATATATATATATATGTATAAAAAAAAGTTCGTTTTTATTGAGAGATTCTTCAAATACACCCTTTAGAATGCTCTACGAATTTGTTTTCAACGATCCAAATTGTATCTATTTTTTAAGTCTTCATTCATAGATCATCTTTGCAAAAAAATCAAAAAAATTGAAAATCATTAAAGCATCTCATGGCAAGCAGGAGTTGCCATATATTATATGCCTATATATATAGGCTTCGAGAAAGTTGGAATTGGATTTAGAAACCATTAAACACGTGGTTCAACAGAAGTTTAAGGTAGTCGTGGAACAATAATAATGCCATTGCTCTCGCACCTGACATGAAATCCTGCAAATAATAATGTGTTGTTTAGGTTTGGACACAAGATAATTAAATACTAGAACATCCCTTAGCTTTGTTTAGAGGAGCTGCGTACACGACACACTGAGCCGAAGATACGACCATGTATAGTTGCCTAGCAAAGCGAGTCATATCGAATTTAATTTAGAACTTGATCAAGACATGTTTTTTTTTCTAGTTTATAAATTCTTTAGTAAATTGAGCTTACTAGCCCCTTGGCACATGCTCACGCATGTGCCAATTGGTTTTATTTTTTATTTTTTATTTTATTTTTAGAATTAAGAAAAGATAATATGAGTAGTTATGTTCCATAAAAATAGGACATATTATCTGATTTTGTTTTTAATTTAATTTTTTTAATATGAAAAATGTGAATTTACCATATTATCCTCATTTAATTAATAATTTTAATTCTTAATGTTTGAATTAACCAATGGCATTTTTTGGTACTTTGAATGTTTCACCATTCTCTGCCTTTTGCTTTATATATATATATATATATATATTTATTTATTTATTTAATCACATAAAACTCTTTCCTTTATTTTTCTATTTAAAATACCCAATTTTTTCAAATAAAACCCAAGGATCTAAGTAATCAAGTCACCTAATCGATCTTAAAATCTGATTTATTCTATTTTTTGAATTCCAAAACTACCCATGTTTACAAGTTAAAATGTTATGTAGGGGTGTAACTAATGACACACGTTGAATTTAGAAAGATCTTCAAATGGTTGTAATGAATGTATGAATTAATTTAGAAACGTATTGGAAATTAAATTTTAAATTCAACATTAATGTATTAGTAATCTACATGTGATTATCGTTTGGTTTATTTAATAAAAAAATTATGTTGTTTTCCTAAAAATGAATTATACTACTAGTAATCTATTTTATTATAGTTTTATGAATAATAGTGTACATTCTAATTATGTTGAAAAATATTTTGATAATCTATTTATTGTTTGTTTTATGAAAAACATTTTTTTTAAATGAACATATTTTTTTCTCTAAATAATGTACCTATTTTTTTCTTTATTAATGTACCTAGTAAAACAATGTACCTATTTTTCCTCTCCAAATAATGAACCTATACATATTTATAGGTATATTTTAAAATAATTTTCCTATGGGTAAATAATGTACCTATATATTCTATAAATTATTGTGTACCTATTTTTAATTTATGAAAAATATACGGAAATTTCAATTACAAAGTAACTGACTTATTTTTTAAAATTTTTTTGGTAAATAATATACCTATATTTTTATTTAAATAATATATTTTTATTTTTATATGTATATATTTATATTTATATTTTTCACAGGTACATTATTGGATATGCAATTTACTTCTTTTTTTTTCTTTTTTGTGGTTTGGTTTGCAATTTTAAGGGGCGATATGTGAGAAGAAATGATAACCAAAAGAAATGGGGTGATTGATATGCTATTAATAGGGAGTATTAATTACAATTATGGCAGTTAATGAAATGCTTGAAATAAATTATAAACAAAATATGAAGTCTGTTGGCAATGATGTAAAAACATAGGAATACTACGACCTCTTATATAATTCTGGTCATTTAAATTTGAAATTTGGTTTTACACATAAATTTCTAGAATGATGAGTATAAGTATAGGAAATAGAAAATATAGAGATCTATATTGAATAAGCCCTAAATTCTTTTATACAAGATATCAGGGAGATTGGGGAATGGAATACATGACTTTGGATATTGGAGGAAATGCTCTTAACTACTTGAATTACAAACCCTTATAAACATATTGACCACTAAATTTACTTAATCAATTTTTTTTTTTAAGTACAAGTTATAGTCTAAACTACAGGAGAGGGGGATTTCTCACAAAATCACACAACTATGATGTCGTGAGAATTCGAACATGAGACTTCTGATTTGCAAGTCAATACCATTTTTCATTGGGTTAGACCCCATTGACAATATACTTAATCATTTAAATTACAAGTCCCTCACGAATATAACATCGCATTATTCAGTATGATGATTTTGCACTTTCATTAACTCTTTTATTCTAGGTCTTACAGAGTTTGGTCGTCGCTCACAAACCTTCAAACATTAAATATCTTGTATTGTTTGTTATGACTCCTCTTTCATGTGTTCAAACCATGGACGAAGCGTGCATATGGCTAACCTGGGCTATAGCCCAGGTGACCTTTTCTTTTTCAACCTAACATAATATTCCCAGCCCACCACATGCTTGGTGAAATGCTCCTCTCCACTAAAGGATTGTAGAGGTCTAAGCCTTAGATGCATTGTGTAGGAAAAGATGAGAACACACGCCACCCTTTTTTTTTTCTTTCAATAAAACATTAAGTTTGGTAAGAGAGATATTTAATACACGCGCAAGGATGGACCATGCATATGGCTAACCTGGGCTATCATCGAGATGACGTTTTCTTTTTCAGCCTACCATAACATTCTCAGCCCAACACATGCTTGGTGAAATGCTCCACTCCGCTAAAGATTTGTAAAGGTCTAGACCTTAGATGCATTTTATAAGAAAGAGATGAGAACATTGATAAGAAGGGGATGGAAACTGAAAACTGAAATGGTCACATCAAACGGACCCTAAATAATATTAGTTTTGTGTTTATATAGGTGAGAGCTTCGAGGAGTGTGCAGCAAGAGATTTGAAGGAAGAAACTGGTTTAGACATTGACAAGAAGAGAGGATGGAGTTTCTGACAGCCACAACAAACAAGCTGCTCCTAGAGGGAGGCAAGCCATCCCAGTACGCGTCCGTTTGCATGAGAGCGGTGATGGAAGATGGAGATGGAGAGCCCCAAAATGTGGAGCCAGAACTGTGTGATAGTTGGGATTGGCATGAGTTGGACAACCTCCCCAAACCACTCTTTCGTCCTCTGCACAATGCGGTGGGCAGGATTTAATCCTTTTCATGCACGAAGAGCAAGAGCATGAGTTAATTAATTCCATGTGTTGCATGCATGATGCATATGCGTTTTCACAACTTTTCCCAATGAAAATGCTATGTCTACAAAATTTATTTATTACCTGAATGAAGATGCCAATGCTTATCAAAAAAGTAAAAAGAAAAATCTTTATTAAATTAAAAGAAAAATCTTTATTAAATTCCGTATCCCACAAGTTCTAGCCCACTGCAACTCTCCTATCCGCAGCCCACCTACCAGGCCCAGCCGACTCTAATTTAGAATCCCGCTGTCCCCACTGCTTTCTCATACACTTTCAATGTGTTATGTGGTTCAAATCTGAAATCATTGGTCTGCAAATCTAAACTTTTTTCCATTCAACTAGACCCATCAATTCTTTGATTCTAAAGCCGTGGATGTGGATAAATAAATCTAAAATTTTTGCATTCAATGCTATGGGGGCTCATGTGAATCTGAGGAGGTGAACCGCGGTAATTCTGATATAATATCAGGGCTATGATAGTCTTTTCGTACTGTAGCTAGTTTATTCCCTAATTAGGTCAGTTTTCTAAACACCAGACCCTTGATGATATGAAAAGAGCATCAACAACATTTTCTAACAGCAGGCCGAACTGTTTGGATGATTGTGATGAAGTTAGTTTTGGTTGGTTAACTAGATGACTTTTGTGCAGACCTGTTTCAAGGCTTTTTAGTGTCATCTTTCTCACTGTTAGAGAATGTTTTGGATATCCAGATTGTACAGCTTAAATATAGTTAATGTTCACAGACAGATGATGAAACCGAACCTTTAGATATTGTATATAGAATCATTGGTTACATCTATATCTGTTATAATTTCACTTCAAGTTGTTGGTGCTGGTCATCGATTCATAGGTAGTTGATCCGTGATGATATTTGGTCGGTCCATGAAAAGGATGAAATCCTAATAATATTTCATTTGTGGATTGGTGGACTTAGGATGCTCATGCTGCCTCAAAATTCAACCAAGAGTCTGCTTCACATGCAGAGCATATGCAGCAGGTCATGATTTGAGACAAAAATTCTAAGTTGGCCTCTTACCTAGGGATCTACCATATTAAAATTATTCAAACATAAGTGGATAATAATGAGAAAATAGGTTATTGGCTCAATGTTATTAGCCTTCATGATTGGATCGTTTGGCCTAGTGCACTCAAATGTGGACTTATGTTAAGTTTTTTTTAAAAGTTGGATTCTTTTTTTCATTTTTTCGTTTTTCAGATTTGGGAATCAAAGGAAGGTAGGAGAATAGTTTTTGACAAACCAAACTTTGAAGAGAGCCAGAAATCCAGCACCTTCTGTATCAAATAAAAACTACTGCTTGTGCACAATAGCTGCAACTATCAGTCCAATCATTCTCTCAATCAGAAAGATAAATTAAACAAGTTGAGCTTGAGGTACAAACAACAAATAAAACAAAGGGAAGCAGAAGAAAACAAGTTGGAACACAAAACAAACATTATGGTGGCTAATGGTGGCTACTGGGTTCATGTGCTTGTTGCATTGTTGCATTGTTGCTAGTAGCAGGGGCAAGAAAGGACTGAAAGGGCAGCAATGTAGTTTATCGGAGGAGGTGGTCCTGGACCTGGACCTGGTGTGAGTACAGTTGGTGTGGCTTTACCTGTCCTTAACTGTTTCCAATGCAAGTCAGACTAGTCAGTCAAGCCTCTCTTTCTTTGTCTACCCCACACACACACACACCCACCTTATTTTCTGCACAGGCCCCCCCCCCCCCCCCCCCCCCCCCCCCCCCCTGATAAAGAAATCACACAAGGCTTTGTCTCCTCTGTTTCTTCCACCATCAAATTATCAATCTTTATTTTCATCTATTGTCCATTTCTATCCCCTCTCCAAAGTCACTTTTCACCTATTGTTGTCTCCAACCCCCTTCTCTCTCAATTTCTTCTTGTTACAGGTAGGTAGGTGCTGCTCACCTTCTTTTTGTCAGGATTCTCTTGCCAGTCTCTAAAGTATGACAAAAGGTGTTGCAAGCAAACAATAACGCCCCCATATAACCACTAGAATAGAAGCAACACAATCAGATCTTTCTCCATCTTTTTTACTCCTCTCCATTGATTCCCATAGTCATACCAACCAATTAATTAACCTCTGTAGACTTCCACTCCTTCTTTGCTCTCTCTCTCTCTCTTCCTAAATTTCCCAGATGAGGACAATTATGGCCAAGACCCCTCATGACTCTTCTTTCTCTTTCTCCAGGAGGTACTTCCACTGGAAAAAGAAAGTGGAGGATGATGAAGAAGATGACCACGAAATCTTAAACTTCAACTCATCATACTCGCATTTCTCTGAGGAATCAGAGAAGGATGAACAGGAGCTTAGAATCCCAGTCCCAACAGACACTGCTTTGATCCCCGCAATAATACCACGCAAGAAACATTCTCTGATGTCAGTGTCCAAGCTCCGCTCAGCTCTCACAGTGTTTGGTAAGAGCCGCTCTCGCTCTGGCCTTGGCACCAGAGTCATGGGTACTCTGTTCGGCTATCGTCGTGGACATGTTCATCTGGCATTTCAAGAAGAACCCAAGTTGAGCCCTGCCTTCCTGATCGAGCTTGCAACACCTACAAGTGTTTTGGTTCGAGAAATGGCTTCTGGGTTGGTGCGGATTGCCTTGGAGTGCGAGAAGAAAACAGAGAAGAAAGGTTTGAAAATGCTTGAGGAGCCACTCTGGAGGACTTACTGCAATGGAAAGAAATGTGGGTTTGCTATGAAGCGTGACTGTGGACCTGGGGAGTGGAAGGTTTTGAAAGCTTTGGAGCCAATTTCAATGGGGGCTGGTGTTTTGCCAGGAAGTGAAGATGGAGTTGGAGCTGAGGGTGAGCTCATGTACATGAGAGCTAAGTTTGAGAGAGTTGTGGGGTCTAAGGACTCTGAGGCCTTCTACATGATGAACCCTGATGGTTCTGGAGGTCCTGAACTTAGTATTTATCTGCTTAGAGTCTAGAAAGCTCATTGAGCCATAAAAATTTGGAGGTTTAGTTCTTTCTCCATGTACCTGTCTTTCTTGTTCATTCGGAGCCAAGTAAGAATATGGGTTGATCACTCGTATCATGCTTCAGAATTTTAGGCAGTGGGGGGGTTATGGGATAATAGCATACCAGAGGTAGGCAGTGTGGGGTATTTTTTATATGTATCTATAGGTTCTCTTCTCTCTTCCTCTTTTCAGCTGGAATGTTGGAAACAAGATGCTTATTATGAGAAAGAAGGTCATGGTTTTGCCAATTTTAAAGTTCTGATTTTTCCCTTCTCCAAAACCCTAAATCGAATTCGTATTCAAGTCTTAATGCCATTGTGATCGTTTTTGACGGCATACCATTCTGCATGTTTGATTTAGCTTAGCAGCACTACATCAGTTTTTCACTTTGGTTCCTTCCTAGTCATATTATATTAGGAAGATGACTCTGTTACATTCTTGAGGAAATCTTTAAACTGAACAGTAATTATTTGTGAAGTGGTTTAGAGTTAAATCAGACTCTTGTTATTATCTATTTGGGTAGCTTTGATTGTGAAATGCAAATACTGACATACCCACAATATGAACCTTGTCCATATTGATAAGGAGATAGTCACGTTTAATCCTTTTTTAATCGATTATTAATTAGGTACTAATTAGGTTAACAAACTCCGTCTTTGTGTCTCTCTCCCACACACTCCCTCTCTTAATCTGATTGGGAATTTAGAAGAAAAGGAAAAAGGTATTTCCGGAGGTTGTTGGTTACAGCAGGGGAAGACAAATCCATTGGGATTCCCTAAGCTAGGTAGCCCGATAGGTCAGGGGTTGTTTGGTTGATTGAAACTCAATTATTTTCAAAAGATTCTGGCCCATTGTTTGTCTCACGCTGAAAAATGTCACTTCTGTCTTCCACTTTATTGCCATCCTGTTCCTGTTCCTGCCTGCCTACTGAGCTCATGACTTGTGAAGCAGCCTACAGCTCTCAGAGAGTTCATAACTTGTGAAGCAGATCATTCACTCATGCATTGTCATATCTACAAGCTGTTTGATGGAAGAGGAATTTCAAGTTTCACCCTTTGATCCATTACCCATTGGAAAAGGCTTTCCATTTGAGACCAAAAGACAAGACCCCAGTTTCCAATACCCTGTTGCTGCCTGCTTCCTTCCTTCCTCAAAGCCAAACCAGATAAACAAAACAACATATATAGCAAATCTTGTTTGGTTTGTAGCTTTTGTTCTTACCCGTGGCATATGCACTTGTTTATTCTTTTCTTTTTTTAAAATTCTAATGGGCTTGTCCAAATTTATAATCTTTTAATTAGCAACAAGGAAATGTCGGAACTCGAGTAGTTCAAAACAGACCTTAGGTTTGTTCCATTTTAGCAATAAAAAACCTCTCTCCAACCTATGTGGGGTTTTTCGCTCTTACTAATAAATTTCAATCCATTCACCTCACAACATGGACTGACCCAACATTATATTTATACTGGTTTTGTTTTGGGCTTAGATTAATGGACCAAGCCGAGCTGTCCCTTTGTTAAACAGATGACATACATGAAATCCAACCCATTTCTATTTTGGATTGGGTCAAATAAATCAGATACACCTTATAGGATCAATCCAATGACCAAGTCTAGCCAGAGTGAAATGAGGGTGGAGTTATTCTACAATGAGGCCCTTACACGAGACCGTAGCTATTAATTATTAGATCAAATTAATTAGTTTGATTCAACAACTAAAATATGATGTCTCATCGAAGCATCCTAGATAAGACCCCCAATGTAGAATTCTACAGGGAGGATGATCCAATCCAATGACCAACTCTAGCCACAGGCAACAAGCAAAACCCTATCCCACCAGCTCATTAAAATAAAATAAAAATGTTTACCATTTGCCTTTAGTTTTGGAAATTGGCAAATGGAAACAGCTGCATGCCATTTTGCCCTTTTTATTTAAATATATAATTTTGTTTTTATGATAACCAACTCTGTACCTACCTCATTCCTCATTTGCTCTCCCCTCGTTCATGAGACTAGCACGCTGGCTCTCTCCTATATACTCCAAAAGAATGGGTCAAGACTCCAAGACCACCTATTCAGCTTGTATTTAAATGATAAGTAAACAATAAGATTGGCGCAAACATTTCAAACTTTGATAATCTGTAAGTAAACGATATATAATTAATTAAATCTATCTTAAACAAAAACAAAAATATGGTCATGGACTTTAACGGTGTACGTGTTGAATATTATTCTTTGGCTCAAATCCAATTCACATGTAATTCAACTCTTTGTGTCAAATATGTAATGTAAGAATATTATATAGCTTTCGTTGATGGATCTTTCAAATAAGTTTATTTCAGGGACACTCTTATAGGACCCACTTCGCATTGTATTTTACTAATCCAAACTGTCTATTTTGTAAATATTCATTCAAAGATCATCTCTATAAAAAAATAACTTAAATCCAATATCATTTAACCACTCAATTGAATTATTGAAATTTTAATACTTTCTTGAAATATTGTGTTCATTGATTTTGTAAAACACAATTGGATGTCGAAATGATTTCTAATTTGTCTAATTTTTTACAAGGATAATTTATGAATATAGACTTAAAAAATAGATAATTTAGATCATTGAAAAACAATGCGTACGAAACCCTAAAAAGTGTCCTTCAACTAAAATTATTTAAGAGATCCTTTCAATAAAAGAAGACTAGTATATTATATAATTGTTGATACGTCGACATATCTCCTGTCGTTCCATATGTAGACTTTCCATGGTGCCCCCGAGATGATGATAGACTTTATAAAATAATAAAAAATGGAAATGATGTATGCATTCAGAATCTGAGATATCAAAAGTCGTGGCACATGCAGATGCAGTTTGTATAAAATAATTGATCATAGAAACGCTGCAGTTTCTATGAATAAAAGAATTGTCCTCTAAATTTCACATAATTGCTTTAATTAAGTTGAGCTTAGCCTTTGCGGTGCAGTGCAATGCATGAATGACAATTATTTTTTCATGGAAAGAAAGGCCATGTCCTCAAAAGTCAAAACGTGTCGTTTCATCATACGCGAAAAAGGCAAATTTAAAAACTTGTTCTCTATTCCTTTTTTTACGGTCCATGAAACATGTTCTTATATTTCTTTCCACAATCTTCATGATTATTATGAGTGTGAATGTCGAGGGATTTGAGGGCCTGTTCATTGTCAACTCCATAACCTCGTGGTTTGATTGAGAATTAACAAGAAAAAGAACACCGTACAACAAACCCCACGTGAGCTGGGGAGTTTAGTCCGGAGGAGCCAAATCCCAATTGCATTGCCCATCAAGAAACCAAGAAGACCATGAAAACCGTCAATGACAATTGTTTGGTATGGTAGTTTCCAGATTTGTAGTTCTTGAGATTCGAGACTGCACGCCTTTCCAAGTTCATTGTGCCAATCACAAGTTAAGGAAAATTATGCTCTTTGTAATTAATGGTGTCCAAAACTGAGACTATATTTCCGGGTTTTAAATACACGTAGCTTGCGAGTGATCGCACGTATTCAAAATTTCCCCAATTAATGGCTATAACTAATATTTGGCAGGGCAAGGAAAGTGTTTGGATACATCTAAAACAAGGTCTTTAAATATCCAGTTTAAGTTCATCAAAGCCTACTCGGGTTGGTGTTCGACATATCCAAATTAGGCACATTGGTAACACCCTTCAAGGCATGAATTAATGAGAATGAGTGAAAAGTATGTTACTTTTCCCCCCAATATCAAAATTTTCTGCACTGCAATAATGGACACAAGTCATGACATGCCGTACAAGTATTGGTTTTTATCTTCCTTTTGATCAAAGATAGCCCTCGAATTCCAATTGTTTAATACATATGATATGTGTGCGTGTTTGATCATGATCATGATGGACCTCATGATCAAGGTGACAAATATGGGCTGCTTTAAAATATTAACTTATCAATTATTGTGAATTAAATGCTTTATTTTAGTATTGCCCATTTTGAAGCTCCTTTTTCTTTGATGAGAGCTTGTTAGTAGATTGGGTTGGTACGTATTTTTAGTAAACCTAACAAATTTTAATGCAAATTAAAGTTTATGCCACTCTCTTCTCTTCTGTTTCAGAGCTTCATCAAAACTTGAGAAAATGGCACCAGAGAAAATATGTGAAGAAACCAACCAAACCAAACCAAAGTCCTCTGTTCAATGGTGGAAGGCTATTAAAAAAAAAAAAAAAAAGTGGTGGACCAAAGCCAGCAAAAGTCTAGCCTAGACTAAAAGGCAACTGGAATGAATGGATTTTGGGCAACCGTTTTGAAGGCCATTATTCTCTCTCAATCAACCAAAAGCATGGCAATTGGTAAGTATATCCAAATGCTGACACATCATGCAAAGTCAAAAACCAGAGTGTCCAATTCAAATGGTTAAACCTACTCTCTCAAAACTCGTTCCACCTAGAATGTAAATACAGAGACAGATCATATTGAAACAACCACAAATTGATCATCAAAAGTCTGACATTAATTTGAAAGGTATTACACTTCTTTCACATTGAATTGAATAGAACATTTCAACAAATAAAGGTTTTCTATACAGTATATTTGGGAATTATCACAAATCCAAGAAAAAAAAAAAGAAAAAAAAAATCATATCTCCTACTGATCTGATCCCATTCAGATTCACATCCGATTCAAAAAAGCTTTGCAACCCTTTAATGAATACAAATCTAAGAAAGAAAAGAAAAGAAAAAACTACAAAACAGAGGAAGAAGAAGTGTAGAAGAACTAGGATGAAACACTCTGTGTGACTTAATTATGAGGTGTAGAATCCACCGCTGAGTTGTGCCTCTTGGAAGGGCCAGAAGGAGGGATAGGGGTCCCTTTGGGGAAGAAGCTGAATACCTGGCCTCTGTATTGAAACCCTGTCTGGTGTGTTCTCGGATTGAGCGTCTTCGTATGCTCCAGATTCAGCAAAACCTTCGGGTCCGCCAGAATCACCGTCTTCCCTAGCCTCGCACCGGAGCAGGACCCAGTGAGAAGAAGAATGAGAGAAACAACAAACATGGTAGTTTTGCACGAACAAGAAAAGTGTTTAGATTTGGGAGAGAAAGAAGCCATTGCAGAGTCTGCAGTGTGTGGAATGTTTTGTGAGATATGCAGGGTTTAAGGAATGAGAAATTTGAGGATTTTTAAGAAGAAAAAATTAATTCACTGA